TCTCCCCCAAACCAATCCGACTTCCTCTCAGGAATCGCTTCTCCTTCTCCGTCGCAGCAATGGCGTCTCCATCTAAAAAGGTGAAATTTGCAGAAAACTGGTTCTGGTAACAGCTTCCTTCATTTTCCTCTGCTCCCCGCAGCAATTTTATGTTGGTTGTGTTTTGTTTTGAAGGTTTTGGTTCCGATTGCGAATGGGACTGAGCCGATGGAGGCAGTGATTACGATCGACGTCCTGCGGAGGGCGGGAGCGGATGTCATCGTGGCTTCCGTAGAGAGGCAGCTCCGCATCGATGCCGGTCACGGTGTCAAGATTGTCGCCGATGCTCTCGTCTCTGATTGCCAAGATACCGTCTTTGACCTCATCGCACTGCCTGTATCTTTCTCGTTCACTCTTAACCTGCAGTTTAATTGTTATTATTCATTTTCTGTTGGATAATAGGAGCAATAGGGTCTTCATTATAAAACGAAAATGTGTTTTACAGATCCTACTGCGCATTAAAATGCGGAACTAACTTATTTATACCTTCTAATATCATTTTTGGTATAAAAGAGGTAACTTATAAATGAGCACCTTGATATTTCTTGGCACAGGGAGGCATGCCTGGTGCTACCAATCTTAAAAATTGTGGGGTGCTTGAAAGCATTATGAAAAAACAGGCTGCAGATGGGCGTCTTTATGCTGCTGTCTGTGCTTCACCTGCGGTGGCACTTGGGTCGTGGGGTCTGCTGAAGGGATTAAAAGTAAGTGATTGTTTGTTACCATTGTAATTTCAAAACTAGAACTTATCATGTGTTTGATATGATATTGTGGATAATGTGATGCTTGAACTCACAAACCAAGGATTCCTTTTGACAGGCTACTTGCTATCCGTCGTTCATGGAACAACTAGCATCTTCAGCAACAGCTGTAGAATCAAGAGTTCAGCTTGATGGCAATGTTGTGACGAGTCGTGGACCTGGCACTACCATGGAGTTTGCTGTAGCACTAGTTGAGCAATTGTACGGAAAAGAGAAAGCCAATGAAGTCTCTGGACCACTGGTATCTACTTTGATATCTAATTTCTTACTTCCTTGTATTTGCTGATAGTCTTTGGAAAAGGATGTATGAGGAAAAATGCAAGTACGTAGTTGAAAGATCAAATATCTCAGTGTTTGCTATAAGAAATGGATTACTCATCTTTTCTTTTCTTGTTGCATTTGTATATTGAGGGCTGAAATATGGAATTTTTGGATCATAGATGCATCTGCGGCAATAAATGGTAGATGTAGAAATGTCATTTGAGCTGATAAGTCGTGAATACCACCCTAATAGTTCATTTAATGGCATATGAAATACTCTGTTCTGCCCAAAGCAATTGGCAGTAGAAATTACTCATTGCTTTGGACAATCTGAACTTAATCATGATTTTTTGTTGTGTTTTTGCTGCTAGATTGGAGACCTTTTGCTTTCACTAATGTGTTATTCTAATCATTTATTCAGGTAATGCGTTCAAACCATGGTGATGAATATACAATCACTGAGCTGAATCCCATGGAATGGAAATTCTCCAATGGTCCTCAGGTAAGAGTAAAACTTTGATTCATCCCATCACTTTCCTCAGGTAAGATTTAAACTTTGCTAATTAACAGTCTATGAATTTTGCCAAATAGTAAAAGAATTATACATTTTTCCTTTTCTTTCAGATTCTTGTACCAATTGCTGATGGCTCAGAGGAAATGGAAGCAGTTATTACTATTGATATTCTTCGGAGAGCAAAGGCCAATGTTGTGGTGGCCTCTGTTGGAGACAATCTGGAGATTCTTGCTTCCCGGAAAGTTAAACTAGTGGCAGATATGCTCCTTGATGAGGCTGCTAGACTCTCTTATGACCTAATAGTCCTGCCAGTAAGTTGGAAATTTTTTTTTTTTAGCTAGTTATTTCATTGTTTCCAACTTTTCTTAAACCACATCTTGCATGTTTTTCAGGGTGGACTTGGTGGTGCCCAAGCATTTGCTAATTCAGAGAAGCTGGTGAATCTGCTAAAGAAGCAAATGGAGGCTAAACGGCCTTATGGTGCAATCTGTGCATCACCAGCTTTAGTCTTGGAACCTAATGGCTTACTCAAGGTATCCAAGTCATTATGGTCTCTTCTAGTAAAATTTGCTTTGAAATTTTAAACATTGAGGTTTACTTTTTTAAATTGTACTCTCACATTATCTATAAAATCCATGCATGTGCTAAAATTATTTGATATTTCTTGTAATCATTTGAGAGATTATTCATCTGTTGTTCTTAGTTGCTAAATAAAAACATTTTACTTTGGTCCAGGGCAAAAAAGCCACAGCTTTTCCTGCAATGTGCAACAAGCTTTCGGATCAGAGTTTCATTGAGAACAGAGTTGTGGTTGATGGTAATCTCATCACCAGCAGAGGTCCCGGAACTACAATGGAGTTTGCTCTGGCCATTGTGGAGAAGTTTTTTGGGCGTCAGAAAGCACTAGAGCTGGCAAAGGTAATGCTTTTTGTACGCTAGTGGAGTTAACATGAACAAGAGTGAGTAATACTTTCTGTATGGATCATGCTACAACCTAGAAGAACATGTTTGAGAATGGGAATTCATATTTGAATATGAATTCTCTTCGTGTTTATGTACAATGGCGTGTTTGATAAATAAATGAGCTTTAGGACAATCTAGCAGTGTGATTTCCCTTTGGTTTATTTCTATTTTTTTATGCTTACATCTGAAATTGGATAATTCAGAGCGCACTATATCCATCTAATCTAATAATCCATGGCACAGCTATTAGAGAAGATCTCTTAGGTCTCAGCTAAATATTTGATTACACATTTGTGGTGATAGCTATACACCACGATTTACATTTCCTAATCCCCCAGAGAATCCTTAAACCCATCGATATTCATCTTTAATATGAAACACACTTTTGAACCCTTCCCTCGATTTCTTCTCGTCTCAACATCTTGGAACGGTGTTCCCCTACGAGCCACATTTAGCTAGGATTTGCGACCCTCAGCAAACCCAAACTAGAGTATGTTCCCTGTGAAACACAGAGGCGTTTGGTGGAGTTTAAAGAGTATTTGTTTTAAAAATATTATTATTTTTTTCATAAATTTAAAATTTTGTTAGAGGAAGATATTTAAAATTAATTTTTAAAGTAGATTATAAACATTTTCTGAAAAAGTTACACATTCAAGTTTTTAAAATTTATTTTAAATTTATTTTAAAAAATAATTTTTAAATTTTTATCAAACGGCCTTGGAGCCTAGCAAGTGATGCAGAAATCCTCTCTCTCACAAAAACTAGATGCTCATGTAAAGGTTTTTAGAAGAGTAAAGAGACTTGGAAGGGGAGAAAATACCCGAAGTTGAAAGCTCAAAATTTTCATTCATCCTCTACCATTACATAGCAGAATGATATTTTACCCAACATTATGACTTTTGTTACCTAAACATTGACTAAATCTAACACACGATTACTATACACCAGCTGTTAGCCTATATTCTTTCTCCTTTTTCCCAAGATAATCTTACTTCCACGTTTAACGAGGGCCTGATTCTAACCATCGCATGGGTTGTGCGCGACTGGACTATACCTTGGGGCACCATTCAGGAATCCTTGAGGCTTGAACTAAACATGGGTCCATATTCCTTAACAATCTTCGCTGGGTGTTAAAGTGATGTAGAACAGGAAGCAAAGGTGAGGATAGAACCTTCAAACAGAGGCAAGGGTGGGAAGAGAATAGCAAAATTAGGGATTTCTTGAAAATAATTTTAATTCATAAATATTTCAATTAAATAACCATAACATAACCTAAGCTTAAATATGAAAGCTAAAAACTTAAATTGGACTTACTAATTAGATTCTCAATTGAATTTTTATTCAAAGATAATAACATATCCTAATAAATGTAAGAGATTAATATTTATTAGCTAGATCGATAAAAAATTAGATGAAAAAATATTTCAAAATTATATCATTTTAATAAACACTATAAAAAGAGACTAAAACATCCTCATCTCTACTTTAAAAATAATTATGATATTTTAATCCTTTTCAATAAAATTTTATTAAAACTATATAGTTTTGAAATATTTTTCTACCTAATTTTTTACAATATAGACTGATATTCACTTTTCTATAAATATAAACTACTAGTAATATTTTTATTTAACTTCTATATATTCATAATCATAATAAAGTCCTAATAAATGTATTATTTCCTTCCTTATCTACATCATTCTCCCCCACTTGGTGAAAACTGACCTCAAGTTTTGTAGTGTTGAAGCCATACAAATTTTGAGACAACAAAATAAGAAAACTACAATGCTTTTGCTTGACTTCAATCTTCAAACCAAACAAAATAAACTTCAAAGTAGACTTCAAAGTAAGATGTTTAGCATCAAATTCTTTAGAAAAAATGAACTCAACAGGTTGAACAGCTTGCAAGATAAGGAGGAATTCAAAATTTTCTTCCACAATTTCCACTAAACCATCTAGCTCTAGTTATGAAAGTTTCTTAAATACCGTTTTGTCAAGATCTTCTCTATTTTCCACCATGTCATTTACCTTTGAATGTTGAAGCTCTTCAAGTAACTTGTGGCTAGAATTCTTGTTCAGAACCCAACAAAAGAGAAGTCAAGTAACCCGCCGTATTGTTTCCTTAAAATTTTACTGCATTTTGTTCGGTCACTAAATCCCTATCATCTTCCTTGGGTATGGGCAAAGGTGAGAAAGAAAAGAGAAGGCCGTTCTTTTTTGTGGTCTTCAATAGGAAGACTCTCTCTCTCCACTTTTTCCTCTCTTCTTTTGGTTTTTACTACTTGTTTCAAAATTGCCATTTTCAATTCCAATTTTACTCTTGTTGCTGACATGGACGTTTAGTCGATCTTGATTGGTTGATTTTTCCAATAATTTGCTACCCACCATTTATCATTTATCAATAGGAAATATTTCCTTAAATTTAACTTTATTATTTGGTTAACTTTGGAATTTCTTCATCAATAACATAATTATCTACTACACCTTTTGTCAAGTAAGGTTTAAGCTTAGTAGCATAGTTTGCAAGCACTTTTTCTAACAATTTTCGAGCAACAGACATAGCAACCATATCATTTTTTTCCACACAAGAAAGCAATAGAGATAATAATAGTTCCATAGGAATATCTTCACTTTCTTGTAAAATAAGAGTCATAATACCTTTCATACAGTCAAAGACAACTTGTGGGTGGTAATCATAGATTGATAATAGAAGATATTGGAACATTTCAATAATTAGTGCATTACACTCAAAATCCAACATCAACACACAAGATTGAACCCTTGCTATAATGCTCAAAATTATTTTTCTATTATAATATGAGTTGTCACAATTGTCAAACAAATCCTCAAATGATGAAACAATTAATTTAAACACCTCTTTCATTTTGTCGTCATCATATGGAGCATCTAGAGTAGTAATTCTCATCATTTCACTAATGCAAATTGCAAGAGCAACTCAAACATAGGTATTTGAATGATGAAAAAGGTGTTGTGAAGCCGAAACCTATTTTGATGGATATAGTGCCTTTTCTAAGTATGGACATGGCTTTTGTTCCACTTTGAAAGGAAATTCCTTAATTGTACCAAGATAGAGAGGAGATCATCAATTGAAGAAAAGGGTTATTGAGGGAATACCCAACTTCCTTTAACCGTTCTATTAACAACTTTTTAAAAGAAGAGACCATGATTTCACTCCATTGAATTAGAAAATCAATTTCAAGAAATTGACCTATCAAAAAAAATAAATAAATAAAACAACTAGTAGTTCCAAGTAGAATTTGGCAAAACAGACCTCAAAAATGGATTTGAAATTGGGTGGAATGGTCAATTGATATGTGATGATGCTGCACTGAACTCAAGAGGATTGGCTAAGAAGTGGTGCTGATTTCTGCTAATATGGCATTTCTGTTGGAAGACAATGATCTTGAGCAAATCCAAATAGAAGGGGTTGGGAGTGATGTCTTCTTTTTGGTTTTCTAAAGTACGATAACTTCTTTTCATTTTCTCTCTTGAATCATGAAACAGAGGTGACGCCTTTTTTTTTTTTTTTTTTTGGATTTGAAAGGTGATATCTTGAATCTAAAATCTTTGATATCAATTGATGTTGAACAGGAAGTGAAGGTGAGAATAAAACTTAGAAACAGAGGCAAGGGTGAGCAGAGAATAATAGAATTAGGAATTTTTAGAAAATAATTTTAATTTATAAATATTTTAACTGAATAATTTTAATATAACTTAGACTTATATATAAAAACTAAAGAAGAAAAATCAAATTAGATTTACTTATTAGTTAGACTCCTAATTGAGCCTTTATTAAAAAATAATAATAAAATTTATTAAATATAAACTATTAGTAATATTT